CATCGCAACAAAAAACTTGCCCCTAATTATATTTTTTTTGTATTAACCTTTTAATATTTAATAATTATATTGAATTTCAATTAATTTAAAGGCAAAAGGTGCAGATCACCCCCTAAACTCACCAACTGGTGGCAAATCACCCCCTCAACCCCAACTGGTGGCAAATCAACCCCTCAACTCACCTGCAGTGGCAAATCACCCCCTCTCTTAACCCCTCCGTTAACACTTAACGGTCCGCTCATCAGCACTTCCTCTGTGTTTGACGTGGCCTTCTTTTTGCTGAGGTGGATGCTAAGGTGGAGGCACAGCTGGACAAATACCTCAAAATCACCAGATTAAGCAAAATACCCCAAAGCTCCTCGACGTAGCATTACTGGAGAACCGTCAGCTATCATTACCGGAAATTGGCAAACCTTGTTCGACGGGTCCTCATCCGTCACAATCGCCAACCTCGAGAAATCACAGTTCCCATCGTTCTGGTTATTCACTTGATAGTACATGTTGAAGGCATACGAGGCATTTCCCTCCGGGTTCAGGTGATTGCAGGAGGAGCCGTAGCCCAACACAGTGCAATCGGAGTGAGCGCAGGCATAACTGATGCTATCTGGTAAATCCTCGAGGTCAGTCGCGTCTGGGTTGAAAACGCACCATCTCTTGCTCAGATACCTCACCCCCTCCACTGCAGCTAGACCTTTGTTTCCGTTCTTTCCCGTTAAATCCAGTTCGTATTTGGGTTTTCTGTCGAACTCGAAGATTCCCCAATACCTCTCGAAGGTTCCGGCATTAATGTCCTTGGCGTTCTTGTCGATTAGGCTAAAGAGGTAGACATTAATTGGGCCACCCCGAGCTGGGGTTCCGTTCCCGCTCATAGCATGTTCGAGCAAACCCTGGTTGAATCTCCTTGCATTCTGGGTGTTCGTGTTTTTGTCTCCATCTGTTTGCCAACCAACTTCTCCGATGATAATCGTCATATTGGAGAATCCATTTTTGTCCAGGGCTGAAACCAGAGTATCCAGGTTCGCGTCGAACACGTTCGTGTAAATCCGGTCACCGTCCTTAACCCGTATGCTTTCACCATCAAAGAAAGCAAACTCAATAGGGAAATGATTGTTTCCATGGAGACTGAGGAAAGGGTAGATATTGACGGTGAACGGGGAATCGTGGAGATACAAATACTGGATTATTTCAATGGTAGCGTCTTTGACATCCGACCGAAAGTCACCCGTCGAGGGCAAGTCGTTTCCTCCTTGTGATTCATAGACATCTGCATTCAAGAATTTTGCTTAATTCGGTGATTTTGAGGTATTTGTCCAGCTGTGCCTCCACCTCAGCGTCCACCTCAGCAAAAAGAAGGCCACGTCAAACACAGAGGAAGGGCTGATGAGCGAACCGTTAAGTGTTAACGGAAGGGTTAAGAGAGGGGCTGATTTGCCACTGCAGGTAAGTTGAGGGGTTGATTTGCCACCAGTTGGGGTTGAGGGGGTGATTTGCCACCAGTTGGTGAGTTTAGGGGGTGATCTGCACCTTTTGCCTAATTTAAAATCGGATCAGGTTGGATCCCATTAAGAGAAAACTCTCTTAACACCTTTTCTATTCACAAAACTCAAATTCAAAATCTTACTTCAAAAATATTAAATTCTTTTTATTCAGATTAACAGGTCGTTGGTCGTTAACTATATATCAATGCATTGAATGAAAGAGAATGAAGTTGCACCCATTTTTCTCAATAACTAAAGAATTGAAACCAAGGCGATTTTGTCCTATTGTTGTATTTATTATGAATAGAACTTTATAAAACATTAGTTTAATTTGTAAATAAATATGTTGTCCTTTTCATGCCTTTGTTATCAATGTATAACACAGTGACATATATGCTTTGTCTTAAATACTCCTGCTGGCCTTGACAACTATTTCATCTACCTAATTATGAAAATAATTAAATTAAACAGATTAGGAAAGCAGAAACCTTAACTGATTTTAAAATTGTTGCTTCCACATTCAGAGTCCAAATATAACATTACAATTCAGCTGGTGCCCCATACAGCTTGGTCAAAATCAACAGCCTTGGAAGCTTTTGCTTCAGCAAAACTTACAAAGATTCAGATTCAAATAATGAGATTCTTTTTTTCTTTTTTTTTTTTTACACAGAAAATACAGTATTAGATTAGTATTTAAGAAAAATCAAGTTTAGGACTTGACCTGTGAATCGAAGTATGATTCACTTGCTTTTCATTTAGGAGAAACGTGACCACCACTACAACTACATGAGGGAATGCTCAAATAATGAGATTTTTTATTGCATAAATTCAACACAAATTTTTGCTTTGAAGTAATAAGATACTATATTATAAAAATGTGTTTTGGAATCTAAATGGTACAAGTTAAACATTAAATGAGTGGCAAGTCTCATTAAATTATTCATGTTTTATACTTTAGATTGTAAAATAAAATTCTCTTATATCTTTGTTTAAACTGTAAAATAGAATTCTTTTATATCTTTATTGAATAATTTTTATTTTACAATTTGATATAATTAGAATTACAAAACAAGACTTCCTAATACTATGCCTTTTTTTCTTTTTCTTTTTCTTTTTTTATTTTTTATTTTTTGTGATTGGATAAGCTATTAGTACCAAAAATGACTTTTACCAAGTATGCCTTTAAATTCATGCATTCTTATTAGCGAGATATAAAGAACGAGGGAAATCACTATTTTTTGTTGTGTAAATTGTAAACGTGTGCAAAGGCAACCTTGAACCATGTACAAAACCAAAGAGTACAAACCAATATTCAAGCCTCAACATGCATCTCTCTACCTCAAATGAACATAAATATTTGCTAGAAAAATATAGAAGCTACCAGACAACAAGTTTGACAATGGCTGATTTGTTTTTTGAGTAAAAAATTTAAGGAGAATATTACTAACCCCTCAAGCCAGGAGAGTCCTCTATATGGCAACAACAAAGAAGTCCACCCATTTTGGCATCCAACTTGCTGTCTCTTTTGTCATTGTACAAGGCGAAATTGTTAAAAATCATGCACATGATCTGGCAATTTTATATGAAAAAACATCTATATTGATGAAGAACTTTGATTCAAACAATCAAAACCCTGATAAAAACTTTGACATTTTAACACTCACAATGGACAGAAAGAGAATGTAGAGATGGATTCAGGTGGTCTAGTTTTAAAGGCGTCTTCAGGGTTTTTGCCTTCTGGGACTTTGTTGGAGCCTCTGATTCAAATATCCCATGAAGTTGCTTCAATGGAGAAGCTTCCATTTATACAGGTAAGGAATGCTTTGACTATGATAAGGAGGATCAAGCTTTTTTCCTCTTTGTTTGAGGAAATTGTGGAAACAAACTGTCCACTCTCTCCATCTTCGTTATTATGCCTTCCTGAACTTTTCTCAGTGATTAGAAGAGTTGAGGTTTTGATTCAGGGTGCAAGGATGGAAGTGCTCTCTGGGGGATTATACTGACTGAGGTTATTTCCAACCAGTTTTATGTGCTGGTGAAAGAGATGAGAATGGCTCTTGATATTCTACCTCTGAGTTTGCTGAATATCCTCACCACAGATATTAGGGAGCAGGTTGAGCTTTTTCATAAGCAAGCAAAAAGGGCGGATTTGTTTGTTGATCCTAAAGAGCTTCAAAGAAGAGGAGAGCTTCCGGAAGTGATGGCTTCTAACAATGAGAAGAAGAGTTAAAATGGAAGCTTCATTTATGCGGGGAAAGTGAAAGAAATATTCAGCTGCATTGGATTGAAGAGTCCATTGGATCATGAGGAGGAGATTAGAAAGCTTGAGGCAGAAGCACAGCAACTGGCAGGTACAGGAGGGTTAGTTGTAGTTTCCAATATAAACAATTTCATTTCCATTGTTTCTTACTCCAAAAACTTGATTTTATCTGGGGCACAGAATGAGAAGACCAGAGGAGACATCAGTCAGAGGCCATCTGCCTGCTTATGATGACAGAAGTATTGACCACTCTTCATCATCTCAATCAATGTTACAGAACATTCCTGATGAGTTTCGTTGCCCGCTTTCACTTGACCTGAAAAGGATCCTGTGATTGTAGCATTCGGTCATACATATGATTGGAACTCGATTGCTCAGTAGATCAACTCAGGGCATTATACATGCCCAAAGAGTGGACAGAAATTGATTCATATGGCCCTTGTACCAAATTATGCATTGAAGAGTTTGGTGCATCAATGGTGCCAGGAAGGTTCATCTTCATCCGCCTCGCCATTGGAGAGAAGTAATAACCAAAGGGAAACACGTGAGAGTGCTATTGATCACATTTCTGCTGCTAAAGCTGCCATTGATGCTGTCAAGATGACAGCTGAATTTTTGGTGGGGAAGCTAGCAATGGGGTCACCAGAAATCCAGAGGCAGGCAGCTTACGAGTTGCGGTTGCTTGCCAAAACAGGCATGAATCATAGAAGGATAATTGCTGAAGCAGGAGCTATACCTTTTCTTGTGACATTGCTGAGCTCCAGTGATCCAAGAATTCAGGAAAATGCTGTAACTGCGTTGCTTAACCTGTCCATTTTCAACAACAATAAGATTCTGATAATGGCTGCAGGAGCAATAGACAGCATAGTAGAAGTTCTACAATCAGGGGGAACAATGGAGGCAAGGGAAAATGCAGCATCAGCAATCTTTAGCCTGTCAATGATAGATGACCACAAGGTTGTCATTGGAGCTCATCCTAGAGCAATTCCAGCATTAGTCAGGCTCCTCCAGGAAGGCCCAGCAGCTGGAATAAGAGATGCTGCAACTGCAATGTTCAATCTTGCAAGGTATAATGCAAACAAAGCATGCATTGTGTTAGCTGGGGCGGTACCTTTGCTCATTGAGCAATTGATGGATGGTAAGGCAGGGATAACAGATGATGCCTTGACTTTGATGGCTCTGCTTATAGGCTGTCCCGAAGGGCTGGAGGCAATAAAGAAAAGTCGAGTACTGGTTCCCCTTCTGATTGGTCTCTTGAGATTTGGATCTGCCAAAGGGAAGGAGAATTCAATTACACTGCTGCTTGGGCTGTGCAAAGATGGAGGACGGGAGTTGCAAGTAGACTACTGATACGTCCGCAAAGTATTCCCTCCCTTTAGATCTTGGCAGCTGATGGGTCCTTGAAAGCAAGAAGAAAGGCCGATGCATTGATTAGATTACTGAACAGATGTTGCTCTCATTCTCAGAATCCTGTTGTATAACAGTGAGAAAACTTCTACATAGAAGTGTGTATTTGGGGATTACTAAAGGGAATTCTTATAGATATTCAATCTTACTGTCATTTAATCTCAAGTTGCAACAGTACAGAGAACAGAGAGACAGAGATGTCTGCAAAACATTCAATTTCTATTGCTTGTACTTTCGTATTGTATCCTACATACAACTTGAGTAATTACAAGAAGACAATCATAAATGGAAACTATTGCTTGGGCGGCATACAGCGCTTTATGGGTTTTTAAAGGTCCTGAAACATCCTAATAGCAATGGTTCAACTTGTGTTCAACCAATCAGAAATATATGGACAGGCTGAAAGTGAGCTATGTCTGTGAACCATGATTCACATAAAGCTAGGTTAAGTATCTGGTTATTATTTTACTACTCTTTCAGTTCCAACTCAATGTGAGTACCATTAATCTTGTAGTCCCAGTACCAGCTGCCTCTGTCCATCTTGTTTGGTTCAATGGGGTCTAACTGAACTGATAAACCTGAAATAGAAACAGAAACCAGGGATAACATTAAGAATAGTGCAGGCTGAAGTTATACAACTGAGATTATCTACTTTTATCATCTTTTGGAAGAGAGTAGTATTATAAATAAATACCAGGATTTCCTGATGTAATCTTCATTCTGTAACCATCAGGGACTTCAAATACATGATTTCCCTGCATCAGGGGAAAGGCGAAATTTAAGTTAACCTTTCTATATAAGATCCCACCAAAACAAAGCCATTAAAGAAGTTCACACTTCTTCAATTACGTTCTTCCATCTGGCAAAGCCATTAGTCCCATCAATGTCTTTATAATCCACACGCAAGGGCATCCATGCTCTAAGGAATGTCTAAACGGAGTTTAATTTATTTTGTATTACAAAGAAAAAACGTAGACACTTTCAGTAACTATATTAACCCCTGAAAAGCTGAAGACTCCATGTTTGACCTTCTGCAGTGGATTCTATAAGTTATTTTTCTTTGTTTCTGCATACAAGTCAAATGTTTCCCACCACCAAAATACCGGTTCATCTTATATTAAAGGTATGGTTCATTCTTTGTCTAACCTGTATAGTAACGTTGTTCGCCACAAATTCAGCATTTCCGTGCAGTATAACCTTCAATGCTTCAAAACGCTTCACATCATGCTTCCAGTATACATTATCTCCAGAACTCCAGTCAATTCCATCATTCAACACCTTCATATTTTGCAATTTGCATTTCGCACACCTGCACAAATGAACTCAATTCTGAGCCTATAAGATTGATTTCTGACAGCTGTATCTTCGAATAACACATAGGCTACACATGTATCAGACCTGTGCCCATACTGCAATTTTAGTTCATTTTCATCAATCTTAGTTGAACCCATTATGTTTTCAGCCATAATAATCATGCTCCCATCAAGCTGCAAAAGAAATGCCAAATCAGCAAACTTAAATATTTGATATGCGGGGTACGGCTAAAACCCACATCATGCTACAACCTGAACATTTCTCCACAGGAACTCTGCAACCTCTATTTGTAACTCTGAGCCCTTTGAAATTGAACCTCCATTAAACTGAGACAATAAGACAATGTCATTAACTGCTGAATGCTTCAAACTTCTCAAGAAAATAAAGCAAACTTTGATAAGAACATCAATTCAAGATTTCAAGCACTTGGGTTTAAAATAAAGGGAAACTTTAAACAGAAGCAGTTTACACATCTTGGGAATCTGATGAGGTGACTGCAGCTAAGGAAGATTGTTATTGTCATTGTATAACCTTGTAAATGGATCAAAAAGAGGGGAGGGGAAGAGATCATCAAAGAAAACCCACTGTAAAATGTAAATCCATAAGCTGTATATTTCTTTTTTAATCTTCAATGGTACAGACCCTGTTACTTAAAAGGGTATAAGTATGGATAAACTACACGTTGCCAATCACAGAAAATTTACAATGGAAAGATATTCATAACAAAAGCACATCAATCCAACAAAAGCCAGAATATGCTTACTTTCTGTCTTGTTACCTCCCAAAGCGGGCCCAGAGCAGGATGGAGAAAGATGAGATATGGTGGTCCAGAATTTACATACTTGTCATTACCTTCAATCTACATAATGGTAAAGAGTGCATCATAACAAATACAGCTCAACACGATTCACAAGTTATTGCTGGGGTTGTAAAAAGAATATGACAGATAGCTTCTTGCACATGATGTGCAACAATATGAAGTAGTTAAACAGCAAGAAGTAAGAAGCACCAGCAACTGGGGTAAATATTGACTTTCTATTTGAGAAGATTATAAAAGGGAATATACCTCAGGAAGTTCAATATCGCACTGGGAAAGAAGATCATAGGCATTCCTTAGGATATCCAACTGTGAACCATCCGGAGTCTGCATATGAATCTAAATATATTAAGAACAGTCGAGAGATCAACATCATAATTACTGACTTGCAAGCATGCTGGTGGTGATTTCACTCATATGAGAAAGAAAAGAAAAGCAGAGATAGCCAAATAAAAACAAAAAAGAGGCATCAGTAAAATATGGTAAAATGAATACATAAAATTCAAAACAGTCAAGATCAAGCATTTGATTAGCCTGTATTCAAAGGTAAATTGGCCTTCTGTTTGTTATCCTAAAGAAGAAGGTGGGCTAGGGATCAAAAGTTTGGTTCAGTGGAATAAGGCCTGTATTCTGCGTTTCATTTGGATGCTATTTACCAAAGCAGGTTCTATATGGGTTGCTTGGGACCAAAGCAGGTTCTATATGGGTTGCTTGGGTTCATGCTTACTTTTTAAAAGGCAAAAGCTTTTGGTCAGTAAAAATCCCAAATGATGCATCTTGGGGGTGGAGAAAATTGCTTAAACTCAGACCACAAGCCAAGAAACTTATGCTGCATTCACTTGGTGATGGGGAGGAGACCTTTGTTTGGTTAGATCATTGACACCCTTCAGGTCCCTTAATAGATGTATATAGTGATAGTGTTGTGAAGAGTTCAGGACTACAATACAATGCAAAGGTATCAGCTGTTCTGCAAGGAAACTACTGGAATTGGCCTTTAACTTGATCCCAGCAGCTTATTCAGATCCAAATGGCTCTTTTGGATAAGCTCTACCCAAAGGAAGGGGTAAAGGATTCATACAGGAAGTACATGGCATTGGCTAAGGGAAAGACAGAACAAAGTCCCATGGCATAGACTGGTTTGGTTCTCACAATCAATTCCTAAACACAGCTTCATTAGTTGGTTGGCAATATGTGACTGATTGACTACAAGAGCCAGGCAGAAGAAATGGGCAGCCAACATAATGATACATGTCTATTTTGCAATTCTGAGGCAGAAACAAGTGCACACCTCTTTTTTAAATGCAGCTACACAAAGCAAGTTCGGCACAAATTATGTGAAATGGCAGAAATTCCTTTCACTGATGCGTGGCAAAAATTATTAGCATGGATGGGGAAGAAAGTTAGAAGGAAGTCATTGTACAATGTTCTCACTAAGTTGGCATGGACTGTAGCAGTTTCCCACATTTGGAGAGAAAGGAATAGGCGAGTTCATCAACAAAGTTTTCAGTCAATAGAAATAATTGTTCGAGATATTCAGTTTGATGTCAGGAATAAAATTTTAGGCTTTGCTAAGCCTAAAACTTCCCCTTTGTCCATGGATATTGCAAAAAGATGGGGGATTGAGGCTGTTGTAAAGAATTGAGCACAGTAGAGTTGTATTGACTTTTTACTTGATTGGTTGTAGCAGCAAATTGCTGCTCATGTATATCACAGTTACTGGATAAATAAAGATTTTACATTTTATCCAAAAAAAAAAAAAACAAAAGCATTTGATTAGCCCAGAAAGATAGAACCCTATAATAAGTAGTTTACAATGACATCAAACCATGGTGCATGAAAAGGATAGTTACTAAGCTACCTGGTGAAGAGACACATCTCCATATTTTCTTTTCTTCTTAGCAGATGATGTAACCCTTCTCCGTTCATTATAGACAATAAATGTATCCAGTTCATCTGCATGAGTGTAGCCCGTATATTAGCAAAATGACAAGAAAGAACAGAAAAGACAAATCTTCAAATAAGAACCTAGCCAATATCATACCTTCCACATCCTTGTAACATCTGGATGAATATGTGTTCAGAAAATTATCAGCAATGTTTTGCATTGTGCATTCAAGCCTGCCACCAGATACACTAAAAGCAGAGAGATGGCACCATTACTGTGTTGCTTAAAAGGTAAAACAACTAAGAAAGCAAAATGAAACAAAAAAGCTCTAGAATCCAATTAGCCTATCTAATATCTGCCTAACATGGTAGACAAGGTATGCCTATCAATTGAAAGAAAGAATATCATTAAACCAGGCAATTTCACAATGAAACAAGTTAACAGTATTAGCAAATTGAACAAGTGATTAAGAAATCTGAGAAGTGAATTATAAACAATTAAGCAAGAGTTGTCAAACAGAGTGAGTACCTGTGCTGGTTTCCAAAATAATCCACATAAACAATTGGTTTCTTTCCATTTATAACCATCCCAGGTAGACATTTTTCATTATTAAATGATCCAACCAGCTCTGCTGAATGCAGATCCACATACAGAATGTTGGTATTGGCAGGGAACTCAGCGTTCAAACTGCATGATGAAGAAAAATAACTGAATTCAGGTAATTTAACATAATTAAGGGAAACAAATGAAGGAAAGGAAACATTTATCAAAACAAGATTTGACAACCACAGCATTTATAACTACAGATGGAATACATAGCAAAAGGAAATGAAGAGTGGTATGACTTCAAGACCACATATAGTTTGGCACGTACAATATATGAAGGTACAATGACAGCTTACCTGTTAAGTGAAGGAGGTTCATTTGTGATTCCAAATTTATCAAATTCAGTGTATTCAATGCATGACAAACCATATGCCCACTTGCCATCAAGATTCTTCTTTTCAATTAGAACATTGATTCCTTCTGTAGCCCCTGCATTCCGCTTGCAAGATGCAAACCCCAGTTTCTGTCACAAATGGAATTTACAATGAGAATATGAGGTAGATTGCAAAAAAAAAAAAAGATGCATGTCCATGTGAACTCTGCTGGACTGGATTTGATTTTGTTACCCCACCAAAGAAAAAGAATACCAAAATCAGCATTTAAATATAGCTCACCTTTCCATGGCGTAACCCAATCCCAGCCAATGCCAAGAGGGTAACATCTGTAGCAGCCACAACATTACTGCATACCAATCGATGCAAATGTTACGCTCGGCTTATACTCCACCCAACCACGTCTGCACAAAGGGTTAACATACTAAATACAGCTTACCTGACTTGCCGGACAGTGGTGCCTTTTCTTCCATGATCATAAAACCACTGAAAGATGCCTTTGTTGTAAGCAAGTTTCCATATGGCACCATGACCACCAGGCTTACATACAGGGATGAATGGTTTTGAGACCAACCACTGGCCATCTTCTGCACTAACTGCTGGAACTAGAGGCTGATATTGAAAAATTAAAACTATTAAAGGCACATGGTATTATTTAATAGAAAGAAGAAACAGTAGAAAGCATCCCCATCATCTTGAATCAAAACCTGTTCAAAAAGTTGGAAACTTGATCGACCTCTTCCAAACCATCCAAGTCGTTCACAAAGCATGGTGATTCGTTCATGGTTGTTCTTTGCTGAACTTGTCATGATTGCAACAGGGGTGATGCATTGTTTTCCATATAGCTTGAAGTACAAGAACTCTCTCGCCTTGCAGACATAAAGTTAAAAACAAAAATGTCACAGTAAATAAGACATGCAATGGTGCAAATTATTAATCTTCTGCAATAAACTTCAATGCTGCATGCTACCTTTCTTGTAAAGCATCAACAACATAGACAAATTCTCAAACTTGAAAATAGAGATCTAATACCTGAAGATCTCTAATAAGACCCTCTAGCAAAGTCCGCCCACAATAAGGAAGCATCGCAGCAGGAAGACATTCACCAGTGTCAGGATCCACCAAACCAAGCCTGTCTGCTGAGCCTCCAAGAGGATAAATTTCACCTAGATCTGGTAGGCCCTAAAAAGGATAAGATCTTATTATTCAAGAAAACCTAGCCACACCCTTTCATTGAGATGAGAAAAAATCTCTAGGCACAAACCTCAATTCCCCACAGAGCTGCTTGAGATGCATACTCCGTGTTTTGTGAAAGATCAAGTCCATTAGGTGTGTGAATTTCCAAAAACTGGCACTCCAACGATTCATGTATATGCTCTGACCAATTCTTAGTCTGTCCCTCAAGTGATGATTGTGCAAGAAGGTCCAGCGCCATTATCTGATAACTGCAACAAGTGTGTCATCTAAGCTACAAAATAAATTATAAACCTGCACACTCATTAACTAAGAACTTACATAAATTGGAAAAGGAAAATTTGAGCAAGTGCCTAATAACTTCCCTTACAGGAAGATCTCTGAAAATTGTCTCATTCCAGGGCAAACAACCCAATTTTCTACTTAAATCAGTAGCTCTAAAAGAAAATTCTGATCGCTCTGACCTCTCATGATTTTCCAGTCTATTAAGCAGAAGGGTTTAAATGCTATCTCATGACCATTTTCTGCTCTAGTTTGACATATCATCCAACAATTCAAGTTCAGCATTAACAAAATACCCTTTGATACAATGTCTTGGTTGGATTTTCCCATAACGCATATGACCAGTGGTTGCTCAATTTTTCTTTAAATGAATCCCGTAATTAAGCCACCAGCCACATATCAGACGCATCACAGGAAATTTCTATGTGAGGTGGAAAGGTTTTAAAAGGAAAACAATAATCTTCATTTAAAACATATGAAGCCACTCTTCAAAAAAACTGGTTGAAAGGTAATAATCCAGGTAATTTAGGAATGTCTGCATTCTACAATTAAGCCTGCATTAAGCTGAATAGATAATCCCACTTGCCATTCCAGATTCAACTTTGAGGCAGGTCAGGAACCATAGCAAATTAACTTAAGCCTTCATAAACAAGTTCCAAATCTTCTCTGAAAAAATATTTTGGAAAGCTTCAACCACATCTCAGCAATAAAAAATTCTTTCTCCTTTTTTTTTATTTTTGTTTGCCAACTCAGCAATAAATTAAACCAATGAGCTCAAGAACTCCATCAAAAGAAAAGAATCAACAGCAAAGCAAATAAAAACTTACCCAATAATTCCTCCAATGCAATCATAAAACTGTTCAATCTCTCCTAAAGTCTTCAACAACCTCTTCAAGTCCCCAATTTCCTCGTCCACCAGCACAATGCCGTCTTGACCCTTCCTAAAACCCTCACTTCCACCATTACCTCCATTACTCATATCCCAACCCTCAATCATCTCCACTAACGAGTAAAGCGCACTCTTCATCGAACTCCTCATCACGTTCTCTTTCTCATCCACGAACACGAAACCGTTCTCAAGCACATGTTCTTGCCCAGCCGCAACCAAACACTTAACCAAAAAGGACTCCTCCAATCCAAAATTCAGCGAAGTCAAAACCCGCGCGAAACCTCTGGTATTAAAAAAATGCTTCACGCGTGAATCAGAGTCCAGGACTCTCAGTTTCTGCTCGAGATTCTTGCAGTTGGATAGATTCTGCCGGAGCGACTTAAGCCGGCGAATTTCCTGATGAAAATTCGAGTCCGGAACCGGCGACGCATACTCTACCGGCGCAGTAGACACGCGCGTCACACCAAAATACGTCGCGGCCGGAGTGGATAGTGATGAAGAAGAGAAAGAGAGAGACGAGAGAGGGAAAGACCTCTTGGAGTTGAGAGAAAGGAAAGAATGGAAAGGAAAAGCTCTGTTGGAGCTGAGAGAAAAGAGGAAACCATTATTCCGATGAAGAACAGGAGAAGTTCTGTTCGCCATTTTTGTTTACAGAGGAAAATGGAAGGAAGTGAAAGGAGGAGGAGAAGAAGAAAAGGAAAGGGGGAGGGAGAGAGAAGAGGGGGGAGGGGGAGGGATAAGACAAGATGCTGGAAGCATATACCGAGGATTTTGGGGGTCAGGACTCACGCCGCACTCTAAGTGTGGTTTTTTGTCTGAAATCCTACAGACTGCCTCCAATTGGTTGGCTGTGTTTCTGATGATGTTTTTTTGCGGGTAACGCAACGGTTGTTTACAGGGCCTCAAGGGCTCACATTTTTCTCTCTGTGGGACCGTGGGCTCTTTGACTTTGGCTTGTTGGTTGGATGTAGATGCTCGTGTCTGGCCCCTGAGTCCTTTTGTTGGACTGTGCCGGTTATGGGCTTTCCCCAACATTGGAGAAAAGATCCACTTTTGTTGGTCCGGCCCATCACTTTTAGGAGCCCAGCAGCCCTAAATACCTGACATTGAACTGGTCTGTTCTTGGAGTAATGAAGAGAGGAACGAAAGAATTGCCAAGGAAGGGGATAGAGCGAGGAAAGAAAGAGGTGGTGTTGCTGCAGATTTATCACTGTAAATTTGTCCAATCTGCGCTCGTTAATTGTTGGATCGTGCTAACTTTTAGTCTCAGAATTCTGGAGACTCCGGTCTATAATATGAATGTTCAGTTTTTTGTTTGGACATGTGTATAGTTTTTGGGTGATTTTTATCCTCACATTTCACGTAAAAAGGAACTACTCTTCTGAGCAGGGATGGAGCCAGAAAATAATTTTAGGGGGGCGAAGTGATATTTGAAATGTGCATGTCAAAAATGAATTTCTTGACTTATAATTTATAAATAAGATTAAGATTTAAATGTATGAAAATTAAAATTTTGAAGACTTTAAATGTAGAAAAACTTGTTAAAATTTATGTATATTTAAATTTTAATATGAAACACAACTTCTGTTATAAAATATCACTTAATATGATCCATATAAGAAAACTAAATGTTCTAAAAAATTGATAATATCAATTTTAAATCAGTTTTATTTTATTACTTGATATAAATAATTATTAATTATGCATATATTGTAATAGCAAACATGTCAAATAAATAAAAATATTTTATTAAATTTATTTTATTTGTCAAGTGGTCAGTAATTTATCATAAGATTTATAAAAAAATAGAAGTTAAAACACACCATTTTATTTTTTTTTTAAAGAGTTTATTTGATTTTTTTTTTTTAAATATAGGACATACTTAATTTTTTTTCAAAACTCTAGAGGGGGCGAGTGCCCCCCTTGCACCCCACTGGCTCGGTCCCTGCTTCTGAGCAAACGAAATGAGTATCTCTAAACGAAAAACTGTTAGTTCAGATTGTAGATTGGTGTCTCCAGAACTCACAGAGCAAAAATCAACACAATCCAATGCTTAACGAGAGTGAATCAGGCAAATTTCCAAAACTGCATACGGTGACAAATCCGCTTCAACACTCTTCTTCTCGCAAAGTTGTCTCACCCTTGACCATCATTTGTGCTTGCCAAATCTCTGAATTTTTTTTTGTTCCGCCTGCCTGCCTGCCTGCCCAAAGTGATTAGTCACTTGCCTTTTAGTCATAACACCACCCGTCTTTGATGTTGAATTCCGCGGATCCACTTCCCCATCCCTCGTAGAATGGTAGGAATATTTGTAAAAATTGTCCTTGTTTAAAAAAATCACTGGATTTTTTGGTAGTAGAATTGACTGCGTTGTCATCTAGAAAGGTAACTTACCTTGAATTGTTGTGATTCTTGAGTGAACATTTAGGAATGTGAAGATACAGGCTTGTGCCATTTAATTTGATCTGTCTGGAGCAGGTGGTCAACCATCTCCTAGTCTAAGAAACAAATGAGTTACTTTTTTCTTTTTTTCTTTTTTAATGTGAACATTTAGGAATGTGAAGTTACATGCTTGTGTTATTTGATTTGATCTGTCTGGAGGAGGTGTTCAACCGTATTCTAGTCTAAGAAACAAATGAGTTCATTTTTTTTTAAAATAAAAATAAAATAAAATAAACCAGCAGAAAACAAATTAGGTCTCGCTCTCCATAAGCATCAGTGGAAGAGAATGCCAATGGGAGAAGCAAGAATGATAAGATGAAACTACAAGGTAATTGCTAGCCATTTTCTTTGGAAGATGATTGCTTTGGAGGGAGCTTGGGGAAAAAGAGAGAAGCTATGGAAACTGTGGGGATGAAGGGATATTCAAACTATTGTATATTTACAGTGCCAAGGCTTGACTCTTTCCACGTTAGTGCACTCACTTGGGCGAAAAAATTACAATATTATTAAACCTTTTTGTTTGTTTACATCTTCTTTCAGCTTACGGCCTTGTTGAACAAAATAGAAGAAACTTGAAATCAACCAGCACCCAATTATGCATTCTTATTGATTTCACAGCCAAATCTTAAACAGCAAATCAAAGAACAAAGAAGATAATGCATTTCCAACCTATATTGGATATATACAACTGCCCCTACATAGCGTAAATAAAACAGAACAGCTGCTTTCCTATGGGCCAGCTTCTGCTGCTCAAGTACTGAAAATAAGAAACTTAGTTTGCTTGCAGCCCAAACTTGCTCTCCTAACTTGCATCACCAGACAAAATCTCAAGCTCTGCCCACCAAAGAGGAGAGAGCTTTGGGGTTGCTCTATCAGGTGTTATTGTGGTAATGTCTCTTAATCTAGCGGTGACTTCTCTCATTGTTGGTCTATGTGAAGGGTCAGGGCAGACACAAGATTTTATTACCTCACCAATCTTCTCCAGCTGCTTATCATCAAAAGAGTTCAGAGTTGGATCCACCATCTCTACTAGGGGCTGTTTTCCTCTCAGATAATCTGATGCCCAGTCTCCCAGTGAACCATTATCCACCAACAAAGGTATGCTACCCATTACCATTTCAAATAATAGAACACCAAAGCTGTAAACGTTACTCTCTGGGCTTGCTGGTAGGGAATCTGAAAGCTTCTTGCTACCTGCTTCTCCCTCAGCTACAGCTATCTCATTCCAGAAACTAAAATCCGAGATTTTGGCAGCATAGTCCTCAGCGAGATTGACAGCTGATGAGGACAGGTTGTTATGAGCCACGGGTGGGTTCAGCTGGTGCATATGCTCAAGACAGTAAGCTATACCCATTGCAATTCTTAGCCGCATTCCCCAGTGCAAGTGTTCTGATTCTTTAACTGCAAGACCAAAATAAGAAAAATTAGGGTTGACTACAATTCTAAAAGATTAAGGAAATGGTCGGTGTAAATTTGTGCTTAAAAGGATCTAGATAGCTTTGTTTATCAAGGGTAAGTAGCACAGATCATATAAAGATGATTGAAGTAAAAAGAAAATAGAAAAAAAATCTACTTATGAGAATATGGCAAAAGACAGGTCAAATGTGATGCATTCCTATCCCTAAGTAAAATATGCAAATTGGGTGTGTGTTTCCGTTCCTTTCATTCTTATAAGGAAAGGTCAACAATTTCGTAAAAGAGGGTGACCTGACCAAGTCTTTTGGTATTATTAGAAAGGGTCAAACCATAGAGAACAGTTGAAAAGACAAATAAGATAAAAAAAAATTAATGAAAGTGACAAAATATCTTATTTTGAAAAAAAAATAGTGAAATCATTTCCTACAGTAGTTATGCTAAACAGTTTATGATGGCTACACAAAATGAGATGATAACGCAGGAGCCTAGATATTACTTTTAGCAAATATATTCGTTCCATGTTAGTAAAAGGGAATTGCCCAATTACCGAAAAGAGCAAGTACTTCTTAGTGTTTGTAATGCCGATAGAGGGTAATCATTCAATTACTTAATCAATTATTTGTTGACAGATGAAATGCGGGTATTATTACCGTCTATCTGAACCATTGAGGGTCATCTAGTAAGACTCTCTTGCATGCACCTTTACTTTTAGGTACATAGAGATGAACAATAAGGTGATTATGGCCTGCCAGTAAAGATGCCAAGAACAATAATTACTTACAGTGTAGATGCTCAAAGAGAGTTCCATTTGGAGCATATTCAAAAACCATCATCCTCGTGAAAGGATCTTCTTCCTCACAATACCCTAGAAGATTGACAAAGTTTTTGTGGTTCACTTTTGAGAGTGTATCAATCTGAAACCAGAAAAATGGAAAACTTTAGGGAGACTGAAAGAACACATGAAGGAAACATATCTTGAATGCAATATTCTGTAGAATACCTTCTTCCTGAACTGTGTCTCTAAGTTTGTTGACCAGTCTTTGGAAGATGCCGCTGGAACAGATGCCACAGCTATTTCAACCCCGTTAGATAATGTCCCTTTATATATTGTACCAATTGGTGAAGAGCCAATCACATTGCTGAAATCTTCGCAAGCTGCTTCAAGCTCTGATCTCTTAAGCTTTGGGACACCTGAAAAGCAAGCCATTGATCAATTATATATATATAGACCCAAACTAGAAAAATGAAAGCTGTATATTTTGATTGCGACTACCTGAACAGAAGATATGTATTATCAGGTTATGATTTAAAATTAAATAAATTTAGGAAATAATGAACTAAATTTAAATTCAACCATATTTGCTCCTGTTCACAGCCACTATTTGAATGGTATCACAACCCTTAATATGATTTTGAAAAGAAAAAGTATTTAAACTGTAATATTCTAGTGGGAAAGAAGAATTACCAGTTACAAAAGCTTTCTGAAGCTGTCCACTTAACCCTGTAGCCCAAGGTTTGACAGCAGATCCCTTATTGCATTTCCATAGATATGTGCCAATGATCAAAGGGACAAATACCGCAGCCCCTATGACACCAACCAAACGTGCAACTTGATGCTGTCTTGAACTAGAATGTTTACCTTTCGTTTCTGAAGTGGGAGGAGGTTGTGAAGAAGAAACATCTGGGGAAGGAGAGGGAGAACGAGAGGGAGAATGAGAGGGAGAACGAGAGGGAGAACGAGAGGGAGAACGAGAGGGAGAACGAGTGGGTGAAGGAGAGGGAGAAGAAGAGGGGGAAGGAGGAATTTTTGAGGACTCAGCAGATGCAGGTGGAACACTCAAAGTTGTTGAGGGAGGGTTTTCTTGGAGCAATCTTCTTTGAATTCTATCTTCAGTTTGGGCAGAATTCCTAACAGAAATAAAAAGAAGCAAATGATAATATCAGAACAAAAGCCAAAAGAGAAACCAATAGTGAATACAATACCCCAAAAACATGACCTAAGTCATCAAATTCATGTACTTTGAGCTGAAAGTTTTATCACACTCATTTGATCCAGCTACATGAGAACCATGCATAAAATTTCAAATTGAATGCCTTGACTAACCCTGTAATGAATCTTCTACTGCAAGATGATTTAGCAGAATTAGATAGCCAGTCTTCATCCACTTGAGTTTCAGAAAGCTTCTGAATTTCATTAATTTCAGGACAGAAGCTACCAAGAAGCTCATTGTTGTCGAGCAAACTGCATCACATGCATAAAAGCATCTTACTAAAGTGGATGAGAAAAACAGAAAGAAAAGGGGAAACCCACCACGTAAAACCAAATGAGAATTGGATTTTATGACACCATCTACTTACAGAATGGTCAGTGACAGGTTGCCACCAATATCAACTGGAAGTGGTCCGGTAAAATTATTATATCCCAAGTCCAACACCTCCAACTCCTTCAGTGCTCCAACACCATTAGGGATGATTCCAGCAAAGGAATTGTTGCGCAAAATACTGCAAGGAAACATTATCTCACAATGATGCAAAGAAGAAAATAAAGCAGAAAAGCTTACAAGGAATTTTGCACAACCAGGTGAGAGAACCCTTTATAGTGGGAAAAGAAAATGTCTGCATACTTACATGGACTTTATGTGAATTAGGTTTCCAAGCTCAGGTGCCAATGTTCCTTCAAGACAAAGATCTTTCAAGTTCCTGCATATTCCATGCATATAAAATCAGAACTAATTAACAAACATAACCTACAAGATTACACATAAAGGTAAAGAGTGGAGGTAAAATAAACTGATTGCAATTAATTACTAGTAATGAGTAATATAAAATTCACTGCTTCATATATATCAACTTATATTCATAAGGAGATATGCATTATTCTCTAGACAATTGATGAGCAATGAACAGAAATTTCATTAGACATAAACAAAGGCATAAATTAGATCTGCACTTCCAACAATAAAACTGTCTTATTTCTTCTTATTCGTCTCTCTCTTTGTAATCTGCTTAAGATAATTATCATAAATAACAAACTACAAGACCATAAAATTATAAAAATTTGGGAATTGCTAAAAAAGAAACAGAACTTCACTTGCAGATCACAGCACTAATTCAGAAGCAGCCTTCCAAAACCAAAGAAAAATTTTAAAGACATGGATTCTAAATCATAGCTAGTTTCTCTTGCCTTTCTCAGCAACCAAACAGAGTTAAGAACAATTCATCATCGCAAGAAGCGAATAAAACAAAATACTTACAAAACCACGACTTGTCCAAGAGAGCACTCGACTCCGAACCACGAACATGGATCAACGAATCCATCGCCAGCTTTCCAATTCGATAAAGCACCAAATGGATCGTTCACCACTCTCTCTTTCAACCTCAGCAACGCCAAACCTGCACTTTCAACCAGAACTCCTCATCATTTTTGCTCCACTTCGCCAACAAACAAAGAAAAAAGTTCAAATCACGTACCTTCATCATTCAGCGAACAACACACCAAACCCGGACACCACAAAAACACCACTAGAACTCGAAACAACCGCCGCTTCAACCTTAACAGCTTCCATCCGTCGCCCATCGCTGCTCGGTCAAAAAGTTACAGCTTAACCAGGACCGAGAATCGACTCCGGCAAAGATCAAACAGAATCAAACCAGAGAAAAATGTAATCCGGTGCAACCAAGAATGAAAGAATGAAGAATAATTCTACAGAGAAACCAACTCGGCGTTCTTGATAGCGAATTTTACTCTTGAGATTTTATATTATTATTATTATTAAATTTTTTTGAAAACGCGTGGATAGTTGTGGACTGCAATGGACTGCAATAGTATTCAACACAATTATTTCTTTTCACCGCGGTGAAAATATCGGCGTCTGACCGGAGTCACCCGGCCGTGGGAGTGAAAATAAAGGCAAAAAGGGACGGAAGAAAATAACTTTGCCGTTTCCACCAAAAAAGAAAAAGAAAAAAACCTTTGTACCAATGATTTGATCATCCAAATTGAAAATAATTCAATTTCTTTTAAATAAAGTTTTAAATTTGAATCTTATCAATGAAAAAATAAGTACTGGGAGAGTTTCCCCTTACTAAAATGTTACCAAGACTCGATTTCAAATTATACAGATATAAAAATTAAAAAAAAAAAAAACTTTGCCCGCCGGCGTACGTTTTGAACGTAGAAAAGGTGATGGAACTATCATGGACCTGGTCGTTTACAATAAAAATTTAATAAAAAAATATGAATGAAAACTGAAAATGTTATTTTTTATTAATAGTACCTAGCAGTTGTTACTAAGTAATTTTATCATATTAAAAAAATAAAGTATCATTAGATTTTATATATATTATTATAAACTTTTATTTAGAATTTATGTCTAAAAATTTTAAAAAACAAACTAATATAATGAATAATATACTTTATTATCTTATTTTTTAAGAAAAATATTAGTTTGATTTTTAATTTTTCATATATGAAATTTAGGTTAAAATTACTTGTAAGTTTATTATTCAAGTTTATCTCTTTACAGCCTGTTTTTATTTAATCCTTTTGTTTTTTTTTTTTCATATTTTTCACTATTCTTTTTTTTTTATTGGGCAAATGAAATGTAGAGAATTATTAGTAAGATTTGTTTGAAAGGAAAATATATAGGGCAGTTGCGAAACCCAGAGGAATCAATTTGGTTTTAAACGGACACATTTAAATTCATTAATGATGAAATGAGAGATGGTGGTGAAGCATCAAAGCATGGCATGTGATGGGTTGTCGACTGGTTCAATAATATTGAAGAACAAATAATGAAAAGGGTACTTTGGTTGGTACTTGGTAGGAGTGGAAGCAATCCAAGTTTGTTTCAGAGTTGCCAAATAACGTAATCAAATTATTTTACAAGCAATAACCTATTCGATACGGTATGAATTGTTCAATGAAAACTTCAGAAATTATATATTTGAGTAGTGAGAAAA